AGGAAGACCATTGATGAGTTGGACAAAAATGCCGACTTGCAGGTAATAAATCCAAGCTTTTGGCATTTTCTATCATTAAACGAGTCATTTGGCCTCTATAATGCTAGATGTCAGTATGCGAGGACAATATCCAGATCCAGGGGACACTAAAAGGTTTATACTGAGAATGTGACATTTATCCCACAGGGTCTTCCTAAAACAGGCTTGGATGAATCTCGAGATTGGAAAAATGTCACTGTTGACACTTCATTCTCCTTTGGGTCACTGAGAGCTACAATATCGAGCATGATGGAACAAATTCACCAGGAACTGGAAAAACTCTCTTCTGTTGGTATGTTCTTGACGTCAAATATGAAAACTCAAGCACCATTGCTTTCTTTGTGTTTCGCAAATAATAAAACAGGACTCATAGGGAATCAATCTGAATGAAGATGTTTTTCTTATTCTGCAGGCGTTACATTTAAAGCAAAAAGCTATCCATTGCCTATTGCATATAATGTTTTTAAATCATAGTAACAACATTTATCTATCCACAGAACTCAAGAGGATTCCCACATTTGCAGGTGTGTGACCCAGAATATTAAGAGAAAATGTCAGTAATTAAACAATGAAACCTGGTCATGGTTTGAAAGAACACACCTCCAGGCACTCACAGAAAAAAAAGGTTACATGGCTTGTGCATGGCAACAAACAAAGTAAATGGTCAGGTCTCCTTCAGATAAAGAGACAAGACCTGAGCCTGATCCTTTAATGCAATCATTTAGGGCTGCTTCCTCGTTTGGTAATATGGTCAACTGGTGGGAGATAATCAGCGTCATTCAGGGGGTGCTCCCCAAAGATTTTACCAACCGAAATAAATGAAACTACAAGAAACAAATCAAATAAGGATAAACATTATAATTTGCAAAGAAAAAAGTATGTTTCACAATTAAAATACTGTGAGGAAATGTACTCTATGTGGCAGAAACATGTCCTCAACCTACTTTAAGTGATTGAAATTCCTTCAAGACAAAAATATTTGTTAATTTCAAAATGAATAGGACATTTGAAACTGTCAACTTACCCCACCTTTGACCACTATACTGTACATTATATTGTCTTGATGCACAAAAAGGATGGACTTTCTCCACACAAATGTATAATGAAATGTGTACAGATGTTTATTGAGGATATTGCATGGATAAAACAATGACCCATTTGTGAACAAACCTCCATAGAAAAGCCTTTTTGACTTCAAAATGTAATGGAATAAACTGATTATCCTGGCCTAAATGAAGAAATGTATCGTTAAATATGTATTTAAACATATATATTTGTATATGTATTTTATTGAGTGACCAGGTTTATATTTTTATTGGATTCGTTTTTTGTTTGTGAAATCTTAAGAAAGTTCTCTCAGCATAACTCTGGTTATCTCCCACCTGTTGACACAATTTCCAGTGAGTACACAAACCTGAGTGATTGCATAGAAGGATCAGGCTCAGGTATTGCCTCCATTGGCACCTTGCAGCAGATCTGTTGAATGGTTGAATTCAGTTTCATCAGCATTTGTTTGTTGAGTGCATTTCATGTCTGACCCACTGAGCATACCCCTCCTTTCCACAAACAAACTCTTTGCAGTCTTGAAGTTGGACTTTTTGATCACATAACTCTCCACTTAGTCACTAGAGGCATTTTCTTAAAAAATGTAACCTGTGTGTTTTGTTGGTGGGACAATGAACAAGCTGGGACCTTAAAAAAAGATTTGGTCCTACTTGTAGATCAATATTGTGGAAGTTATACATTTTAAAGCTCTATTCTTCTCAAACCTCTCAAGACTCCTTAATATTTGCTTTCTTTATGAAGTAGTTATACTTGAATATGACAAGTTAAAATTAAAAGCATCAGCATGTACTTTGTGTCATCCATATGAAGTGCATGATGACCCTATTTCTATTTATCTCCTCAACCACAGTGGATGTAAAGCTGGACCCAACCACAGCCCACCAGTGCCTTGTGCTTTCCCCCGATGGAAAGACAGTTAGAGATGGAGGAAATGACCAAAAAGTACACGATGCTCCCCAGAGGTTTGACATGTTCGGCAGCATCCTGGGGCTCAACAGGTTGACTTCTGGGAAGTCATACTGGGAGGTGGAGGTCACTAACAAGTCGGGGTGGGACCTGGGTGTGGCACGACGCAATGCAAATCGCAAGGGGAAACTCTCTGTGAACTTGGAGAACGGTTACTGGGTAGTCGTGCATTACGAAGACAAAAAGTATGCAGCCCTGACAGTACCACCAGTCAGCCTCCCCCTGAAAGAGAAACCTGAAAAGGTCGGAGTGTTTGTGGATTACGAGGAACGTCTTGTGTCCTTCTACAATGTGATGGCTCAATCTCACATCTACACGTTTACCGAGTGCATGTTCAGCGATGTGATTCTTCCATATTTCAGTCCACATCCTAAACAAAATGAGAAAAACTCCCATCCTCTGATTATCTCTCCTGTGAAGAAGCAGTTGTAGTTATATGAAGTGAATAGTTACCGGTGCACTAAAAGTTAAAATGCACCACTCCATGTAAATATCAGTTCAGGTGTACATGATATTTCATGACACTACGAAAGGGTTTAAATCTAGGGTATTGGCCTGGGCATCACCTGTGTAAAGAGATTATGAAAGTTTCAGGAACAAAGATTCTCTCTCTTTTTGTCCTGATCCATTTATATAAAACCTGTCTGAAAATGAGCTGATCGGATTTTGGCCACTTTATGATGTCATAACGATTTTTTCGACTTGTGTCACCATTAGCCAATAACCCGTCGTCTCCTGCTAGCTGTCATAAATTGACTCTCTTCCAGTTTTCAGGTACATTTTTGAAGTTACACTTTTTATATCTCATTCGTTTCTAACTATACATTTTAACTGAATGGAGAATTTCTGTTATCAGACATGTGTACCTTAAAGTCCTTATCTTGCATAATTTACTTTAGCTGAAAGATCATAGAACTGTTTCAAAATGCATTAACTTGTTGGGTCTTATTCCAGTAACACGTGATATAGATCGAATATCGTTTCCTATTTGCTGTAAATCACTTGTTAATATCGGGAAAATGGGTCAAATTCAGAGGTATCCAGAAAAGTCTGGATTCAAACTTGCCGCTGCTTGGTGCTGTGTCGTGACGTCACGTGTGGTTCCGCGAATCCTGGTGAGTTCAGCCCGTCCCAGCATCACACAGTGTA